CCCCCCCCCCCCTCTCACGTTTCCCTAGTACTGGTTGAACAGACTTTCGCACGATCCCGGGTATTCGATATTTGAAGGCCATGAAGTCCTTGAGGTTGAGGCTAGATGCCTCTTTGATGTCTTTCGCGTGCGCCTCCAAGAAAGCGTTGAGGATCTGGAACATTTTGAATATTTCGACGTACAGCAGCATCGGGGGTTGATCGCAAGGACGAGGTGTTGACCGTTGGTGTCAATGTTGATATCGACCAATTTGTTCGTGGCTATGTTTTTGTCTTTGCCCCAGGCAATGAGTATGTCCAGTTTCATATCCATATAAAGTAGGACAGAAGATGGGTTTCAGCACGTACAGCCCTAGCAGGAGGGAGACGACCAGCAACAGTGGTATCATAGTGCAAGCAGCGGTACGTCGGAAATTCAAAGGCCGCAGAAGGCCTCGCCCATCATGTATTGCTGAAAAACTGGACTCCGTGCACTGGGGTACTTGAACGAAAGGCGATGCCTACATACAACGGCCAATACATCCGCACGGGATACCAAAGGATAGGCTTTCACGCGAGAGACGACATATGTACCATCGTTCAGCAAGCGGTGAGTCAGGAAAAACAACAAACAGTTATGTAAAGGAGGTAAAGGGGGGGCGACGTACTCTTATGTTTTGCGTGCCTTGGCGGTTAGCAAATGAACAAATGTATTCGTGTGCTTCCATATCCGAAGACAGTACAAAGCCCAGCTGTGTAACTGCCTCAAGGGTACTTCCATTTGAACACGACATGGCGGGATCATCCCCATTGGGCAGAATGAGCGTTCTCGAGCCCGCACAACACAATTTACTCTACAACCATCACGGTAACCGTAAAAAAATATCAAGGGAAAAAAAAGCGGTAACCTCTTTGTCGAGGCCACGAGGCGATCGGCTTGTTCTACGACGTCGTTGCCAAGCGACGAAAACCCAACCTCGAGGGCACACACCAGGGGGGGGTCCGAGGAGGGGGTGTACTGATAGTCGTGCATGCCGTAGTCGTTAGACCATTGACCTCGCATCCCTACAAAGCCGGGACGGAGCACGCCGCGTTCTCACCGGACCAGGCTCTCACATCACCAAGCGCGAAGCGCCGTGAGGTATTCGGCGAGTCGCATAAAGAGTGCGCTGCATTCTGCTAAGGGTGTTTGGCATCTTGTGCTTACTTCCTTGCATACGGATGACAGCTGCGTATGACTTAATTTATTTTCTGGTGCTTCACTTCCAGAGACAGTTGTAAGCACTGCGTAACTGCCTCGAGGGTGCTTGACCATTTTAACACAACGTGGTGCGATCATCCCCCTTGCGCGGAGTGAGGGTTCTCCACCCCGCACAACATGACCTACTCGACCACCATTATGGTTACCGCCTAAAAAAACAGAGGCAATAAAAAAAACGGTAACCTGTTGGCCGAGTTCACGAAGTGAATTGGCTTGTTTTACAACGTTGTTGCCAAGCGACGAAAACCCAATCCCGATGGCAAACACCGGGGGGGGCGGCTTGTTTTACAACGTCGTTGCCAAGCGACGAAAACCCAACCCCGATGGCAAACACCGGGGGGGGAGGTCGGAGCAGCGGATAAATTTATCTCGCGAGTGGCTCGAGCGTGTACAAAGATAACCGTAACAAAAACACCGCCTACCGTAATAATATACAGAACGTACCTCCGATGCGATGAGCCGCCCGAACGTCGCCCCGTCTCCTCTGTCGTGGAACAGAGCGCAGAATGTGTTGGTAGCCTCGTTTCCCACCAGCGTCACCCCCACGCTGGTTAGCTCGACATAGGCCACTTGCATCCCCGCCGCCACCTTGGAGAACTCCACCATTGCCGTCAGCAGAGAGCCCAGCAGTCTCGGCTGCCACGTTTTCCGTTCGCGTGTGAATATTTTTTGGTGTTTCGGGCGGGGGGAGGACGGAGGCGCGGGGGGGGGGGG